AAAAAAAAATAAAAAAAAAAATGGTTGAATGCCTTGCTGGATATAATTTCCTTTTGTCTTTCTCCTAGTGTTTGATGTACTAAAGGAATAATTGTTTTTCTAACAGCCAACCTGACAGCAACTAGTCAAAATTGCAAACAGTGCCTGAGGAATAATAAAACCTGATAATGCATTGTTATTTTTATGTACTCCCTAATATCACTGGTGTAAAAGGTACACAAATTAGTAGTTGGGGGGGTTATATTTTATAATCTCTGGAGAGTGGAAGTGGCTCAGGGCTAGTTGTGTTTTATAGTGCTAAATGAAGTGCTTGGGGATGGCAAAGGATGTGCTGAGGGCCCACGAGCCCAGGGCTGCTGCTGTGTTAAGCTTCTGTTTCTGTCTGACAGAACAGACTTTTCCTTGGGAGAAGGAATTTGAATGATTATAGGAATATGTTTGTCCAGTCAAACTTCAAAATCAATGCACATTTCTCCTCACATCTCAAGTAACAAAGGAATGGAGTTGGATTAGATACCATTCTCAGAAGGCCCAGAGTCAAAAGCAAGGATTTTTGGGTGGCTGAGAATCACTTCTGTCACTTCTGGCTGCTGCTCTTTCTTCAGTGGGGCTTTCCAAGCTTTCTCTTCCAGTGCTGGATATTGAATTTTAACCATGTGTGATCTCTGAAGGAATCTGGCATTCCTTTGCAAATTCCTTACTTCAGTCTCTCAGGGTTTCTAGCCTTGCCTGTTAAAATGTAAACACGAATTTCTTTCAGAGGGAAAAAAATTGAAACCAAACCTACCCCAACCCTTTACCTTTATCTCAGAGGCTGCTTGTATCATTTCCCTTGTTTTAATCTATAGGATCACTTGTAAGCATTATATAATGGATTTTTTTTTTCAAGTTACAGATGTCTTCAGTGACTTCCCAAACACAGGAGATCATTATTTTTCCTGATAACCAAGTTGTGATAACTGTATGCAAGCAGGTTTTAAAGGTTGCAAGACAGTGATAAGAACCTATGTTCTAAAGGTAATTATGTTTGTGTGCTGGCACAGGGAGCTGATAAAAGTGCATATTTTATTCAGAAATGTTCTGGACTTAAGATAAACCTTCTTGTTTCTTCTTATTTTATGGAATGTCAATTCTAGCATACAAAGCAAATTAAATTAAGGAATAATCCCTCATGTAATTTGAGCAAGAGGTGCCAATGATGTAGAGTGGGCATTGCCTAAAAAAACATCATTTAATGTGTTTAAAGATTTAATGAAACAATGGCAGGTGATGCCACTAGTCCATAAACTTGCTTTAGTAACTTGCAAATCAGTTATTAATTTCTTATTACTTTGAAGTGGCATTTTAGTGGCAATCCCTGTAAGCAAAAGTAGCTTGCAGTAAAGTCATTTATCTTGATCAAGCAATTCACTCTGGACTCATTAATTGCATGTAATTTTGGATCCATTTTATGTATTAAAAACTGAAATCAGCTACTGATGCTTTGAGGGAAATATCTCACTGGTAGGTGACCTGATGAGAATAAAATGTGAATATGAGGAATTAGCACAGTAGTTTCTTTTCCCCTGTCCAAGCCCTGACTTTGGCATTGTTATTTAAATGAGATGACCCCAAACACTGACTCCAGTAGTAACCCTGGCAAGGCTGTGCTGTGACTGAGTTGCCCCTGAAGAGCTCATTTCAAGCCACTTCTACTGGATATTTTTAAGCAGTAAGGTCTAAATTCTCTGTCTTCAGGAAACAGTTGATTGCACTGCTGAGGAACAAAAAATTAAATGATAATCAACAACTGTTTCCACAAAAACGTGAAACTGAGAGAAGATGGTGGAATTCCATTATGCCACATATTTTAGGTGACAGATACTTCCTGTCTGTATGTGTATGGGAACTCGCATTGGGGTTTTAATCCTTCTTACTCAAAAGCAAAGCAATATAGAAGTAAATCTCCCAGTTCTCTTCCAAGCTGAGGTTAATTTTTTCTCAATTCTCCATGACGACCAGTCAAAAAACCAAACAAAAACAACTCCAAAAAACTAAAACACACCTAAAAGAAAAAACAAACACACAACTCCCCCCCGCCAAAGAAAAAAACCCAACCAAGCAAAAAAAGTAACCAAAAGATACCACAAATTCAAGATGAAAAATAACCCCACAATAACAAAACCAACAGCTAACCCATACCACAAGCCAATATATTTTGTAAATAGTCTGGTTGGTTGTTTGTTTTTTGTTTTTTTTTCCACTGATCACACCATTTAATATGAAAAATTGCATTCCAGTTGGATCCAGGGTGGGATTCAATCATATGCATTTTGCAGATGACTTCTTTCTTCAGTACAGTCATTAACTAAAAATCTTCATCCCATTGCAACTGGAGGCAGAGCTGCTTTTTGCTTAAAAAATGAAATGGCCATTTAGAAGATAGAGGAATAATCTTCCTTATAATATTTATTTAAGAGGAAACAATTTCTAGCCAGCATATTCATCAGTGTAATGCAGTAGTGTGTATATATATATCTCACTCTGATAAATATCATTAAATCATTTCATCTGGATAGGATGCAGAAAGCTGCAAATGTTCCTTTGCTATTCCAAGCTTATTTTTACATTAATTTTAATCTATACACTTCTTCCTGTCAAGATTTACTCCATCATCTGAAAGGCTTTCCAGCAGGGGAATCCATGGATGGCATAATCCATTTTAACAAGACACTTACCATCCTCTCCCACAACCTGAAGATGAAAGAGCACAGCTTTTGCCCTGATAATTTCCAATTGCAAGAAAGGTCACGTAGAACAAATGGCACAAGTCAAAGGTTGAAATCAAAACAAAAAACTCAACTTTTAAGCTGCACTTGGAGGTACAACCTCTACCATTAGCTTTCTTCCCACACACAGCTGTGCTGCCTATTTAAAGCAAGGACACGAGGGTTCTTTTTAGGAAGAACTTTTATTCTCGGTTGCTTCCTTTAGGTGTTTTTAATAGAAATTAAAACAAGGTGTGCAACCACTCTTACTGAAACCTAAAAGAAGTTTGAAAACCGGCATTAATTCCCAGGAGTAAAGCCAGGTTGAGCATCCTCACGCTTTCTGTGTGACAGGATCTGTATTTTCACTGCGTTGTTCAGTTGGTGGAACGATGGGGGAGAAAAATTCTCTTTGCCTCAACAGAACCCCAGGTAAAAGGAAACCACATTTCTGACCTTATCTACTGCACTGCCAAGTGTTTTGTATTTCCCTCAAGGCTCTCTGCCTGCTTCAAGTATTGGGTATTTTCATATCCATCCTCCTCCAAGCAATCCTCCCAGGCTCACAGCTCAGAAAGTAAGTGCTTGGGCTGAGGGAAACAAAGCCATGGTTAGATGTTTCTTCATTGACCTTGAAAAATGGCACATTCTGGGTGCATTTTGCTACATCCCCATGAGTCTGAGACTTTTCAGGAGGATTTGTGCAAGCAGAAATGCACCTGTTATCTGCACTAGCTTGCATTTAGTCAAAGACAAGCAGGTAAGAGCTACACATGGAGGGTCTCATGCACTGTCATGCGCTCATAGGATCAGCAAGGAAAAGAAGATTAACAATCATGGAACTAAATTATACGGTATTCTAACTATATAGCAGAATATTAGGCTCCACTTTCTGCAATCCTAGGTAGGTCTTCAACAGCAGAGTAGTCATCTTATCTTTTGCTTAAGGTGGAGAGGTTTGCAGGTGCTCTGGAGGTTCGGATGACCAGCCCTTTAAAAATAAAGTTGAGCAATGAACCTGCTTTGTTAATGTAACACGTTCATTTCAACCACACCATCCTACTGGTCATGGAGAGTTGGAGAAGGATGGAATTGAGGGCGATTAAACTTCCCCAACAGCCCCAGCCCAGTGTGGAGCCAGCCCTCCATTTTAAAAGTCCCTGCCCGCACCTGACCACGTCTACACCTTGTGCTCTTACCCCTTCCCTTCCGGCAAACGTCGGACTTGGGGAGGATTCAGAACTAGGATGTATTATTAAAAATAATACATTTAATCTGCTAAAATATAATCCATGCAACACGACAAGGAGAAAAGCTCGGTGCATGAGGAAGGTGGGCAGTGGCCTGTCCCTCGCGGGGTGCTGGCCGTGCTGTTTGTCCGCCTCGGATGGGACGAGCCCCCCCAGCTCCGTAAGCCAAAGGCAGGCGGCGATGCCCAGCGCTGCGCTCCCTGAGCCTGCACCTAGCGCTCCAGCAGCCGGGGCTGTGCGGGAACCCGGCGCTGTCGGTCACAAAGAGGATTTGGGGACGGGGCGAGGGTCAAGGACTTACTGCGCGGTGCTGCCTCCATCCAGCTGCGCGGAGCTCGCCGGGCGCTGCCCTGGGGCCGAGGCCACCGAGGCTGCGGAGAGGCTCGAACCGCCCGCAGCTCGCCGGGCCGTGTTGGGAAAAGGGTTTTTAAAGGATGCCCTCCCTGTCCCCAGGGCGCCCGCCCGCAGCGCCGTCGCACGGAGACGAGCGGCTGCCCGCGGCCCATCGGGGTGCTGCCGCATCCACCCCCGTCCCTCTCCCGGCGGGCATCACCCCAAAGCGCGGGGGCGGGCCGGGGGGGCTCCTGCTCGCCGCCGCTCCGGGCACGTCCCAGCCCCGGCGGGCGCGTCCCCGGTGGCCCCGCTCCGGGCCCGGCCCCCCCGCCCCGGGTCAGCCGGGTGCCCACCCCCGCTCGCCCTCCTCCCTCCCTCCCTGCCCGCATCCCTCCCTCCCTCCCTCCCTCCGTATATCCCGGGCGGCCGGAGGAGATGCCCCGGCGCGGAGTTGGCGGCCCGGGCGCCCGGCAGGAGCGCGGGGAGCGAGCGGCGCCGCCGCCCCTGGAAAAGTTGTGTGCCTGCCGGGGGGAAGGCGGGCAGCGGAGGGAGGGGGAAAACCACCACCCCAAAGTGCTTACACGAATTTCCCAGCGCTAGACCTGCCTCCGAGATCAGCCCAATAAGAGCTGTCAGGGGAGGCTCCCGGCTCACTTTTCCACATCGCTTCACAGTTACGTTTGGCAGGCAGGCAGGCACGGTAGCGCGCTCAGCCCCGGAATTAGCGGATTTATTTGGAATATCCCTGCTTTCCTGGAGACGTGCGGCTGCCGCTGGCTCGTGCGAAGGGAGAAATTAATAACTGCACTCCAGCATGCAGGCACAGAGACCCGGGAAGCCCAGCAACCAGCGGCTCCGCCAGCATCGGCAGCCTCGGAAAGCATGAGAAGAAAATCTGGAGCGCCCTGCCTGTTCCCAGGGACCGGCTGATGGTTTTTTACCTCACCCTTACAATCCGTGCGTGAAGTGGCTGTGGGCGAGCGGCTCCTTTGCTCTTGAAAGAGTGAGTATTCATTTTATTCAGACAATTTGTGGCTGGCTGGCAGAGGGCTCTCGCTCCGTGGGTTTCTGGCTGACTTGGGCTCTGTGTGCGTGCAAGGTGCGCTGGGCGAGCGCCTTCCTCGTCCGTAGGTGCGGTATTAGACTGAACTGGGGTCCCTCATTAAGTCGGATGTTTCCGAATTGCCGATAATTGAAATGTCGTGGGATGCTTGTTAGTATTTTTTTATTATCATTATTGTTCTCTCGGGAGAAGAAGTGGTGGTAATTGTATTTGTCTTCCCGCTTGTTGGTGTTTATTTGGGGAGGTTTATTTTTCCTTCTGTTCTACAACCCTCCTTGAAAGAATCAGGAGGACTTTGGATCACAGAGGGTGGCTTCTAAGGCTGGCGAACCCGTTTCTTCTCCTTGTTTTCTTATTTAGTACAATAAGTCTCTGGGCTATTTCACTGTGTTGAATAGATGCAGGGCTGCATTCATGCATTGAAATAGATTGCAGTTTTCGTGCTGAGAATAAAAATCACCCACCAGCCAGATATGTAAATGAGGGAGGAGGAGGCTGGAAGAACCTTGAGGGGGGGAAATCCCCCCGATTTATTATCACCTTCCCTCACCACAAAGCTTTGCACCCCCTAAGTAAGTAAATAAATAGGAATGGCTTCATAGCTTCCTTTCCTACTTTGAGAGGGAAAAGCATCGCAGAAATACTGCTCTTGAAAGCTGCGATGGCAATGAATCTGTAGCCATAACTAGCTAGGAGTCATCCCTGTCCCACAAGTTGTTTTCCTTCCCATCCTTTGGCTCACTAAACAGAAGATGCACCCAGCCGAAACTTGGGAGAGGGAGAAAGCCCCTTAGCCCCAGCCGCTCCTTTGCTGCCAAGGCAGCAACGCAGGAGCCCTGCAGCCCCCTGGAGCTGCTGTGCCACCAAACGCTTCGTCTTCTCTTTGAGGACGGCAGAGGAGGAGCACATCCTTCTATTCTGCTTGGCTCCGGTCTCTGCTGGGTAGCAGCATCCCAGCCGGAGCGCCGAGCCGCCAGGCAGCATCCCTGCTCGGCAGCACCAGCGCCGGGCTCGCCCGGCAGGCACCGCCAGGCTTCAGCACAGGAGCCTGTGGCAGCCTCTGGGTGGGTAATAGAACACAGATTAATTCAAATCCTTATTTAGGCTCTGCCTACCGCCACGAAGGTGACACTACTTAACACAGGCAGGAATTCCTTTGCGGTTCGTTGCCGTTCAGTCGTGTCTTGAATTTGTCTCAATTCAAGCAGTTTGCGTTTAGTAGCAGACTAAATAGAGTGGAATCAATCCAACCTGGCATTTAACGGCGCTACACAGACCCGCCGGCGTTGCCAACAGGTATCAGACTGTACCCTGGCTCGCCTCCCTTTCAGACAGGCACAAACACTCTCTGTTTCACGCAGGCGAGTCTGTCTCCTCTCGCTGAGAGGGGAGGAAACACTCATACAACTTTTATAAAGGCTGACACCTCGGAACAGCCAACTTGAGCACATAGACGGCTCGTATCGCGGACAGGTGTTTTTTGGGAGGTGCTGATGGCAAGAACTCAAATAGCGACAACTGTTTATTGTTCCAAATGGAACGTGTTAGCGCTTAATGGCAGGGAAGTTAACAGCTGCTCACTTCAGTTTCAATTAAAGAATAGAGCTGATAACTACCAAAGCTATAGATAAAGAATCCTCTTAACTTCACTCATCCTCTTTTGGAAATTCTTCAAGAGTTTCTCTGCACCAAGGATAAGGAGAAATATGCCGTTCTCTTGTATGTTTCCCCTCTAGGTTCAATACTAGACTGCTGTGAACAAGTAGAGACTTCACAATAGGCTTCTCAGTATATATAAGTAAATAATAAATAAATTCAGAAGAGTGGGAAATTACTCTCGGGTACATTTCACCTGTCTTAGACAAGGTGGTGAATCTTCTGGAAGAAGTTAGTGTTTGACCTACCCATTTGGCATACCCATAAAATCTGATACCATCAGAATCCAAAAGCTCTCTGTAGTGTTACCTCCCAGCCTAATTGTATGGATGGTTGTGACAGAAGAACCCTAGGAAGGGAAGTAGTTATTACATTATATTTTCATCCTTTAAGCCTTATTGTTCCACCTCACTGCTTACAGAAGGAGCACATCTTTCTGGTAGCTTCCTCTAAGCTATTTATTAACTCCCTTATTTTTCCAAACTTGCATTCTGGCTGTGGAGGACTTTGATTTCCATGCTTAGTTGTAAGATGAGGGCCTTCAGTGCCCTTGGAGATTGAGGCATTTCATGTAAGTTGGTTCTTAAATTATCCAGGTGAGCAATTTGTTAACTGGGTAGGCTGCTAGCCAAGAAACTAACTTTGGACATTTTCTTCAATATTAAAAAATCAATAACACTCTGTGCGCCTGCTTAACAAATGCAGCTGGTTTTAATAAGAAGTATGGCTGTATATGACAGCTACTCCTTTTATGCCTTTCCTTAATAAAGCAAGTTTTAATGTCTGTGAGGTGAGGTAGAATCCTTCTTAGATGAAGTCTCTCAGTGCTTTTTGAATGTTGTTTAGTCATTCCCATCAGCTCCTGCTACCGAGGTGCAAAAAAGTACTGTAAAGGGGGAAGTAGTCCCACAATCTTTTTTGTGAAATTTGTTATATTTTTTTAATATTTTTGTCATTTGTGATCTTCAGGATTTTTCCAATAACATTGCACCTTTATCAAATCAATGTATTGATCTCTGGGCACTTTATTTGCACCACTGTTAACATATGAGTCATTGTCTTCTCTAAAAAAAATATCCTTCTCCCTTATTCAGGATGTAGAACCATTTCAAATGAGAATTCACAGTCAGCCATGGACATACATTTAGGTCTGTTAGCCTCCAAAGATCTTCTTGAATTTTCTTTCTATTTCCTCTCATAGAGCTGCAGATTTCATCTTTTAAATCTTGGCTTAGGAAGACCATTCCCACGGACTTTAGCTGGGACCTTTTTGGATGTTTATTGAAAATAGGGGCCTGGAGCCCTCCCACTTGACCCTTGGTACATACAGATTATTTGATTTCCAAAACCTGAGGGATGTTAAAGAGAGAGAAATACTGATCTCTGAGATTATGGACAAGTAGGGATGTGAACATGCCCTGTAATTTCTCGGAGCTGTGTATTTCCAAGTGATGATTGTGCATGTTTTGTGACAGAAAGCAACTGCTCATGCAGGTATTTTTATAAATCTCCCATACCTATCAGATACCCCACATCTCAGCAATATTCCCTTTCCATCTCAATATTATTAAAGCCTGACCTAATATTAATACAATTGTATGCTTGTAGTATACAGTAAAGTGGTATCATAAGAGTCTTTCATCTATGAGTATAAAATAATAAAACCTAAATTCTTTCAGTGGGAGGCAAATGCTACGGCAATTTGAGCTTGGAGCATTTTAAGCATCATTGCTACTGTAAGATCACATCAATAGAATTAAATTAGATCATGGAAACTCAACATTTTTCTTAGTGTTGTTGCCATAGAAAAGGTGGCTCACTTCAGAGCTTTCTGAACATAACTATTTGAGCAGTAGACAGACAGAGAACAAAATAAAGTCCAATTTGAGATTACAAATGTGTGTCTATATATATACACACATTTATTTTCCTCTCCTTTGTTCTAGAATCTGTCCAGCATGTTTCTCATTTTGTCAACCATGTAAATAACATCAACTCAGTGGCATTTCAACTGCATTAATAAAATTTTGTTCCCAAAATACACTGGGTACTGATGGTAGCTGGAGTAGTAAGTACATGCTGAAAAGAAAAAAAAAAATAAACCTGTGAACCAGTTCAGTTACCAACAGATAGTGTTTTACCTGGAGTCAGATGCTAAAAAATCTGATTTCCACCTGCCTTAGCCATGAGAGCAGCCTTTATCCATGGGTTGGTTGCAGTGATAGCACTCACAGAATTGATTTGCCAAGGTGTTGATCGTGATGTGTCTTGTGGAAATCGTTTGAAATTGGGAATGATGAGCACCCTTTACACACCCTGGCTCAGATTTGAGATTAGCACTGTCTCCCAGTCCCAGATCTGTGAAGGGGAAGCTCCCATGGGAAGTGTCTCCTGTATTCTGTGGTGCCCAAGCCCTAGACAAGCTCACGGAGGCGTTTCTCAGTGTGTCTTTGCAACAGATATGGAAGTGGAAAACATTATGAAAACAGTCTTGGCAGTCCCTAGTTCACAGCTTCAGCTTTCGTGTACATTCACCCAAAGTGGCTTTTTCCAGGGAAGCAATGCTCAGCCTCATTTGAGAACTTCCATTTACACCCATTTCCTTTGCAGTTGCTGATGATCAGAATCATATGCACATATTTTACGTTTTATAAAAATATAAATATAAAACATATTTTTATACATATATATTATTTCAAAGCCCTAAATACTACAGCAAACGGAGAGCAGGCACTCAAGAGGAAGTGCAATTCTCTAACTGAATTTTTCAACACTTCAGATGTGAATTTCTCTTTTGGATTAAATGTAACAGCTATGATTGCCCCTTAAGTAATACAATATCAAAACTTAATGTCACTGAAATTTAGATTGTGTCCTGTGTTTTGGTCTCTGACCTTTATTTTTGTGTGTTTTCCAAAGTTAGATGAAAACAAATGAATGGGGGGAAAACCCCACAAAATCTCAGCTTGGCAACACCAGAAGAAATAAGTTTAACATTGGAGAGTCCTAATTCTTTCCAAACAACTCATCTAAATTGATGGTACAAGTGCCATCAAATTCAGTGATGCAAAATTAGAAACCTTCACTTCTAATTTCACATATCTCAGCAGAGATTTGAGGTTTCCTGAAGCCATACTGAATACAGTTAGAAAAGTCCAGGTATGTTCAAAATTTTTCTCTTTAAAGATTTGTTTAATGCACACACATGCTCATGAATATGGCTGGAGAGTTTATGTAGCTTTTACTAAGTCATGATATCCAGTCATAATTTAGAATCTTAGTTT